CCTGGCACCAGTTTTATCCATAGGGAGCAAAGCAGAAAATACTGATTAAAGCTGGCCCAAGAACAGGCTCCAGCAAGCAGCACATCTGCTGTCCCAGTGCAAACTGGGGTCTCTTCCCAAGTTTCCTTCAAAGACAATTACTTTTTGGGGAATCTAGGAAGAAGTTGCTTGATTTAATTTAAACTTTGTTCATGCCATTCCCCCTGGGGATGTCTGGATGTTTGGAGGAGAAGGAAGAAGGAAGAAAATTTCCCCTTTGAAAGATAGGTAAGGGGTCCCATCTTCTCCTCACCAGGTTCAAGGCTCTGTCTTTTTGGTAAGATCAGGTATAACCTGAACTGGCTTCCTCTGCAGCCCCTTTCTTCTTTCCCTTCCAGTTTTAAGTTTTATATCTCCTTCATTCCTCCCAAAGAGACCCTGGAGCTGTATTCACTGCATGCTTCCACAGTGACTAAAGGTCCTGGCCAGACCTTATGTTTAAAAACACATTAGTTAACTTTTCAAACACTCACATTGCCAAGGTTTAACACCTGGAAAAATCTGCTTGCAGGGCATGACTAGTCTTGGAATTGTCTCTACAAGACTAAATCCCAGCAGGAATGCTGTGACAGCCCAAGCTGTGGTGCCAGCAAAGGGAGAGGGGAAGAAAGCCTCCCTGCCCCAAGAGGTGCACCCCTTTTTTTGTTCCTTCGATGGTGTTTATAGAGCGTTCCAATTCTGCTTCTCATGTCACTTGCCAGGCTGTAAAGTAAACCTACAAGTACAAACATCTCTGGGAAATATATACAACTGTTAAATAGGTAATTTATCCTCTCAAATTTCAATGTGACACTTCAGCTGTTAAACTCAGCTTCCACTCATGCTTAATGCCACAGGGGTTTTGCTGAACTCCACTTGGAGTTGCTCAGACCTTTTATTAGAGATACAAACTGCCATGAATTTTGTTCCTTTCTTGCATAAGAAATTATTCATGAACAAACAAATCTGTTTCCCTTAGAATATAGGAATTATGAAACACATCTGTTTAAGGATTTCTAGACTGGTGCTTTTCTGTGTATTGTAGCTGCAAAGTATGAGCTATTTACTATTCCTGTTTGTAGGATGCTTATACTAAATCTCATGGTAATATTCTCCTCCTGAAATGGATAACTCAGACTTGCAGCATCAGTGAGGAGAAAGGAATGAATTCTTCAAAGTATTTGTTCAGAAGGGGAATTATTAATGCACAAATTAATGAAATGCATGGATACATCATTAATTCTTGGCCTTTGTCTCGTATTACTTGAAGAGATGTAGAGACCCCAAAATCATAATTTAAAAATTCATAAGTGTTCAGGAAAAAAACATCGTTTGACTTGATCTGTTATAAAGCATTTTACTGAGGCATCACCCAGCCAGCTGTGGGAGTCTGAAGGATATCCTTTTAATTGGTTAAACCTCTAAGTGCTTTATAATTGCTTTCACTAAGCAGCTTCTGTAACAGAGCAAATGCTACCTGGAACTGATTACATTTTAATAGGCTTAGCCAACGTCCATCCAGGGACATGTAAAGCCTCCCCTTGATGTCCATCAATTTGTCTCCATGTCGTTATCAGAGCTCAGCTGTGCCACTCAATAACTCCTTCCCTCCATCCGTGTGGGAACTGATCTGACAGGCACCTGGGAGGTGCCGAGGGCTGCTCGGAGGAGAACGGGCTCCAGGCAGGTGTGTTGGTGGGGATATAAATCCATGCCACCAAACTGTCCCCTTTCAGGATGGCATTTGTGCTGAGCAGTGCTTCCATCCTGAGCCAACCTCAAACAGTGATTTTTGAGCAGCTGTTTGGAATGTGATGGGGTGGAGAAGGTTTATGTTGCTCTCTCTGCCTGGATACAGAACGCAATGGCCTGAGCAGAGTAAATGGGGTTTTGCCCACTGCAGGCTGCTTGTTGGATGGAATTCCTCTCCTGTGAGGAACGGCTATGAAAATTGGTGTTGTTCTGCCTGGAGAAGAAAAGGCCTCAGGAAGACCTCTTTGTAGCCTTCCAGTACCTGAAGGGGCTCTGAGAAGGCTGGAGAAGAACTCTGAACAATGGCATGGAGTGACAGGACTTAGGAGAATGGCTTTAAACTGGAAGAGAGAAGGGTTAGACCAGAAGAAATTCTTCCCTGTGAGGGTGGTGAGACCCTGGCACAAGTTGCCTGGAGAAGCTGTGGATGCCCCATCCCTGGAAGTGTTCAAGGCCAGGTTGGACGGGGCCCTGAGCAACCTGGTCTAGTGGAAGGGGGTGGGATTAGAAGAGCTCTAAGCCCCCTTCCAACCCCAAATCATTCTGTGATTCTGTGATTGCTCTGTTGGGTCTGTGTGCATGTGAATGTTCAAGAATTATTTAGAATTTTATCAAATGATTGCAAAAAGAGAATATTCAACTTCCTGTGAAGCATCACACAGCTCCAAGAGACTCATCATCTCAGGACTCTAATATAGCCAAGGAATAATAATACAAATTAGAGGTGGTTTATAGCTGGAGAAATGAAAGGAATTGGGTGGAGGAAGGAGAGTGTGAAATCTCTTGGTGTGAGGTATTTTTAACAACAGAACTGGCTGCCCTGTTGTCTTCAGAAAAGAGCTGGGAAGCTGCCAGTGCTTGCAACTCTCTGAATTTGGATGCTCACACCTGGTGAATGCTGACAGCAGAGGGGGAATTACAATCAGGAATCACATACTTACTGAATTAATGAGGTGGCTCCCTGGCAACAGGGCTGACACATGACCACTCTCACCCTCACCCTGATCCCAATCACCCTCATTATTTTATACATGATTGAAGTCAGACAGAGCCAAGAAAATGCATAAATGCTACCAAAGAGGAGGAAAATGATGTTGTGGATGTTTTGAATGAAGCTGTTAGCCTGACCACTTTTAGCTCCTGTTTCAATGTAAACAAATACTTAAATCTCAGTATATTTGAAGCAAGGAAGTTTTTTTTCTGCTGTGATCTCATCCAAAAGCTCTGCACACCACGAGCTGCAAAGATTTCTTTTCTAGTTTTACAAGTTCAGAAACATTTCCCCCTTAATCCAAAATCAGCCTCTTTGTTCTTCAGGCCAAAGTTCGCTTTTGGAAATGGAAAATACTTTGACCCCCATGAAGCTCTGATTTTGTGCCTAAAGTTTTATTAGTGGGGGCAAGTGTCATTTTTCTTTTCCCATCCTCTTCCATAAATGAGCCTAGACTTTGGCTGCCATGGATGCCCATATAAATCATGGGCATCCTTGTGTATTTTTTGCTACTTTTCTGACAGCTCAGAAACCTGGTTTATTAAAAAAAAAAGTCATGAGAAACGGATGACAAAAGTAAATGTGAATCAAGCACCGCCAGTAATCAAGTGCATCTGAAAAATGAGATGCGAGCAGGATTTCACTCACATTTGGATTTAAAAAAAGCCTTTCTGCACAGTGGAGTGAATCACAGACAAAACTGAGCAAGGGTTTTTTTATCTGCTGGATCTTCCTCAGCACAGAAAAGCAACAAGCAGCCACCCTCTCATTGCCTTCCTAGCAGGGAGGAGAGCTCAGTCCTGCTGCCAGGCTGGCCTTGCAGAGATGCAGAGATGCATGGAATATCTGGGCATCACTGCCCAGGGGGCCCCATGGTGCACCCTTTTGCACCATTTCAGGCTCCTCACTTTGGCCACCTGTTCTCAGCTTTTGCAGTTTACAACAAAAGCAAAAATTTGCCAGGAGAAGAAGAAGAGGGAAAAGAAAATGACACTCATTGATCAGAAGGAGAAGGGCTGTTTTTCAGTGCCTTGGAGGAGACGTGGACCTGTGGGCAAGGGGTGCACTTCCACCACTGCCAAGCAGTGCCAGGTGTAAATTTAGATTTCTCTATTATTATTCACGGAGAGCTCTCTCTTCTTAACGATCAAAGAGTATACAATGCTAAAAGGAGAGAAAGGTGTGAGGTGTGGTAGCAAAGTGAGAAAAGGCAGCTTCTCACTTAATGGCAGCAGGCAGAAGTGTTAAGAAACAGAAAAGGATAGCAGGGAGCTGAGTCCTTGCAGGCTCTGAGCCAAAGCAAGGCTCCCTCCTCTTCCCCCTGTGGATAACAGTTCACTGGGGTGCAGAGACAGTAAATAAACACAGTCCAACAAGATAACTATGGGGAATTAAGTGTTCCTTTTTCTCAGTAGGTGTTTCCCAGTGCAGTGTTCGAAGATGGGAGCCATGTGGTGGCTCACCTATGGCATGGGCTTAGAGCGCTGCATGGGCTGCATCCCTCGTGAAAAACTGCTGGAAAAATCTCATGGAGGTTCTTGGAGCTTTCTCTAGGGATTCCTCTCCTTGTTGGAAATATGGACCTGGGCAAAGCACTACCAAGATGCCCACACGCCTGGAAGTGTTCAAGGCCAGGTTGGATGGGGCTCTGAGCAACCTGGGACAGTGGAAGCTGTCCCTCCCCATGGCAGGTGGTTTGGAACTTGGTGATCTTTATGGTCCCTTCCAAACCAAACCATTCTAAACATCAGTCAGAAAGCTTTCTGCTAACAAACTCTTACCATGTAATGTTTAAAACCAGTACAGGCATACTTAGCTATTTTGGGTACTACTTTTGAACAGCTCTTGCTTTATCATCTCCAAGTTTAAGCTACCAGATTCTTTGGTCTTTTCCTCAGCTTATTTAATCAAGCTGTCCAGTATTTTGCAGAACAGCTCAATTCCTGAGTGCAAAGTCTTTTATTTGAGCTCTGCCTGAACCAAAGCTCTGCAGAAAAACAAGAGGAGTGAAGTGATATATGCAAGGCTTAAGTCGCTGTTGACCAGATCATTAAAATGCTGGGCTAGTTTTGCTTTTTCAGAGAGTCTCTGTACGCCAACAGGTCTGTTCAACAAGGAAAAACAAAAGGAAAGGACATTTTGAGTGAAAGCATTTACCGATTTCACCTTGCTCCTGTTCGAGCCACATTTCCTCAGACACCTCTAGCCCAGCCCCACGCCCAGACAAGCCCGTACTCACGCAGGACCCTCACGCCGTGTTTCAAGGCCTGCACGCGGCCGGGCTCCATGGACATGCTGAGCATCGTCTGCTGCCCGCCGATGGTGCACACCTGGTTCTCCTGGGCCGCCTGCTTGAACATGACGATGAGCTGGTTGGCGATGATGGTGTTGAGCACGGAGATGACGACCATGGGGAACACGAAGGAGATGAAGGTGTTGGCCTGCGGGAGAGAGAGGCGGCACCGTCAAGGGACGAGAAGGATCAGAGGGACAGGAGGTACGATCAGTTCCTGGCCTGTGTCAGGAACAGCGTGGGCAGCAGGACCAGGGAACTGATTCTTCCCCTGTACTGAGCACTGGTGAGGCTACACCTTGAGTGCTGTGTCCAGCTCTGGGCCCCTCAGTTCAGGAAGGACATGGAGGGGCTGGAGCAGGTCCAGAGAAGAGCAACCAGGCTGGCGAAGGGACTGGAGCACAAGTGCTGTGAGGAGAGGCTGAGGGAGCTGGGGTTGTTTAGGCTGGAGAGGAGGCTCAGGGGAGACCTCATCACTCTCTACAACTCCCTGATAGGAGGGTGTAGCCAGGTGGGGGTCAGTCTCTTCTCCCAGGCAACCAGCAGCAAGACAAGAGGGCTTGGTCTTAAGCTCTGCCGGGGAAGTTTAGGTTGAATATTAGGAAGAAATTTTTTACAAAGAGAGTAATCAGACATTGGAATGGGCTGCCCAGGGAGGGGGTGGATTCACCATCCCTGGAGGTGTTTAAGGTGAGACTGGATGTGGTATCAGTGCCATGGTCTGGTAACCACGTCGGGGTTGGATCAAAGATTGGACTTGATGATCTCAGAGGTCTTTTCCAACTGCATTGCTTCTGTGATTCTATGATTCTACTGTTTCAATTTCTCAAAGCAACAGAGGAACAGCCTGCAGTGGAAATCTTTCCCTTCCTCTTACTCAGCTGGTTTTGGCTTTTGAAGGTTTATTTGCGCAGAGGGAAAACTCAAACATCGCTGACGCATGTTCATTCATGTGGGTCAACACTCAAAAAAGGCAAATTCATTCACATCCAATTACATTCTTTTCCCCTTTTCAGCGCAGTTCATTGCCTGAAATGTCTCGACTGAAACATGCCATTGATCTTCCCATCTCACAAGCAGCAGGATGCTGCTTAGCTTTCATCATGCGTAGCGTGACTTCTAAATAACAGTGTGTTATTGTCTTTCTTCCTGCATTATGAGCCCTCCTTGTGATCTTCTTAACTTTCATTTTTTTTTTTGAGTGTTCTGTCCTTTCCTTGTAGATTTAATGGCAGCGTTTTGTTATCTCATAACTAAGTTATCCAATAAACCTTGTGCCTTAAAGGATTAAAATTGATCAGAATAAACAAGTGGAAGTTGTAATGTTTTTAGTACAAATTATTTGATTACTACAGTTTTGATAAAATTAAATGGAGGATCAAATTAAGCAGTGATTGAATCAAGTAGAAGTCACTGCTCATGTCAAATGCAGGAAAGCTTTGTGAGGGCCTTTTGGGCTGTCTGGAAACCTCAATGGAACTGAGCTTGACAAATGGCAGCCCAGGGAAATAGAGGCATGTGCAGGGTTTGCCTGCACATCTGTGACAAGGCTGCCATGGTGGGATGGTGAGCTGCTCTGCTGACCTCAGGGGTTCACCCTCTCTGCTGTATGGCTCAGAAGGAGACTTAGCACATCACTCAGATGAGTGTGGGGCAAATCAAAAGCCCTTTAATTATTTAAAATTTCAAAATATTGACAAGAATAGAACTGTGCTGCAAATTGCTGTTGAAGCAATTGTATTAAAAGTGATAAAATGACAGAAAGATAAAACTACTAAACTCAAGAGGGAATTTGGCTGCTGGTAGGGCTCCAGGGCATGCTGACTTCTTCCCCAAGCCACTTACCTTGCACCTCAGTGATCTAAACCACAGAAACAACCCTGCACTCCAAGCCAAGACCATGTCCCTCCTCAGACTGCAAAACCTCTTCTACAGACAGCTGCTCCATCTGCTCAGATGGAGACAACCCCTCTCCACCCACCCACCCCTGCCAGCCCATCTCCAGAGTGGACAAGATTCTCTCTACACTCAGTGTCTAGTGCAGATTTGTGCTCTCTTTGCTCTGGAGGGATTCAGAAATGCCAGAGGTGAACAGAAACAATCCACCCACATCCCCAAGATGCCACAGGGGATCTGCAAAACCAATAAGAAGCACATAAGCATGTAGGAGCAGGTGCATAGGCAATCGGAAGCATTTTGGTTTCTTTGTCCATAAATTTGAAGATGCAACTCCTCATTTGGCAGAGACAGGTGGTGTTGTTGTTGCCAAAGTTTTCTTTAGATGGAATGAAGTGTCCCTACAGCTCTGTGCTTCAGACCTCAATGTGTTAAGCAAAACTACCAGCTGGGTTTTGTCCCTGACAACCCACATGGTGAGAACATCTTCTCTGCTTTATGCTGGTAATAATAAAAGAGCTTGTCTGGACTGAGTGAATTCCTAGATACACCCCACTATTACAAGCTGTTAATGACCCCTTTTGCTAAATATAAAGCAGTTTTCTAAGCTTCTAAAAGATCTCACAGCCTCCTTCCTATAAAGAGGAGTTATCTTTTGGAGTCCTCTCCACAGCCTAAGACAGATCATTAAGTAAGGACCAGCTTCTCAGTTGGTACGAAATAAGAGAGTAATTTGTGTTTGTAAAGAACCTTCTTGGTTTACTTAACCTTCCTGATGCTGCTGGGCTGAGCTGGTGCACACAGGGGTGAAATAACTTGCTCAGACTTACCAGGTCAGACTAAGAAATGAGCCCTGTAATTCTCACTCCTTTTTCTGTGGCTTTAGCTGCCGAATGTCTTTCTTTCCCACTGCTGAGCAATGTTTGCACATCAGCAAAATGCAGCACTTAACTCTGGAAATGCTTCCCTCTGTCACTTGAGATTCAGAGTTTATTGGTTTTCATTCAAAAAACTTTGTGCTAGCTATAAATTAGTCTTGCTTAATAGAATTTTGCAGAACTCAGAAAGTCTTTCCTGAGCTTTCTTAAAAACCTTGTTTCTTTCCATAATTGCATTGAAAAGTCTTTAAGGAGCTTGGGAAATTGTCTAGAAGAGCATTGACTTTCCCTCTTATGAATCGTTATGCTAAAAGTGTGAATATTGCATACTATCAAAGACTATATTTAAAGATTTTTACCCTGTCTTGATTGTTACCAAAACTCTCATACAGTTAACAAAACAAAACAAAACAGAACAACAAAAAAAACCCAAACACAAACAAACAAAAAAACCACACAAAAAAACCCCCACAATAAACAAATCAATATATTCCCCAGTAGCAGAATGCTTTAATTTGTTGAAACAATTATTTACAAACATAAATTCCTGAGGGCTATAAAGACTAGACAAGCCAATCCCGCTCCTGCAAACCCCTTGTATTCCATGTTTTTCTGTCGAGCTGCTTGCTGGGCTGCATGAGCCCAGACCCCAGCAGACTGTGCACATCAGTGCAGCAACACTTCATTTTCAGGTGACTTTGCACGCTGCTGGAGCTCGTGCCTCAAACAACTCTTCAAAGCCAGTGGAAAATTTCCCACTTGCTCAGTAGGAGCTGATCTGGGACCTCAGGACTACATTTTCAAAAATTCAGGAGCAGGGAGACTTGTGGAGGTGTTTAATGGGATTTTTTACAGTGTCTCCTAAGATCAGTGGGCTAAGGTGGCCACAGCTGTCAGTGAACACCCATGGGAGCCTTTGGGTCCTTATGTATGTTTACAGATCACTCTGACCCCAGGAAGGAGGATTTAGGCAATGTGCAGGCTCATGTCTGACCTAAATGTCTCAGGCTTTAGGTTGGCTCACCATGGGAAGGACAGTTTGTGTGATGCTGGATCTACACTAATTCAGTGTTCAGAGTTGTTTGGATGCATAAGCAGAGGGCTCTGGCCTCGTTTTTGCCCTATCCAAGCACAGTTCTGTCTGATTCTCCTCCCCATCAAAACTGATGTGTTTGCATCAGTGTGAACCCACCAGACAGACCCCTGATCTCTGCCCAGCACCACGATGGGCACGGCTGTGCAGAACGAGCTCAGTGCAGAAGCCCAAAGCTGTGCATGCAAAGGCTTAGCACTGGCTGCTCTCTAATCTAAAAAAAATCCAACACCACAACCTCCATGACTGTGTGCTAAATCCTCATTAAAAAAAAAAAAAAAAAAAAGAAAATCCAATACTACAATGTTTGCCACTGGCAGGACAGAATGAAACACTAACCCACTTCCATGCTGCTGTCACTCCTGTAATCACTGCAATCCTAAATGCCGTTCAAGCACCAGGCTGGCAGCATCTGTGGGATGGGATTAGTCCTCAGGACCAAATTGTGTTTTGTCTCATACAGAACAACAACCTTCCCTTCCAGCACTGCCTGAGCAGTGGCACCCAGAGACCCAAATCGTTTTTCTCCAGCTGCCCCATCTTGGTGGCCATGGGGGTCCTGCACCCAGGCATGGAGCCTTCCTGGCTCTCTCATGAGGCACTATTAGTCCCAGCTTTCTCTTAGTCCTCTATTGCCAAAGGTGATTTTAAAATGAAATATGAATCATTGAAATTATGCAGGATTTTGCAGGACACAGGAGACAGAGCAGAGCTGGGGATGGGGCTTGGGAATTGGAAATTTATGGAAATTAAGTCAAACTCCTGGAAGGGAAAAAAATGCAGCTATCAGCCTCATAGTCAACTCAGCAAAAATCAGACTTTGCATGATGCTAGAGAATTCAGCACGATGTGAGTGTTCATCTTCCTTGAAACAGGAATGTGGGAGAGACATGGGGGAAGGGACCGGAAGAACCGAGGGACACAAAAACAGAACTCAGTTCTCGGGTTTGTGACTCTTCCTATATCTTCTGTACAGAAAACTGCTCCCTTGGCTCTGCTGAGCTTCGTGCTGACCGTGATTCACTTTTGTCAAGTCGTCCCTCAAATTATTTGACTGTGTGGTTTCCCTGGGTTACCACTGAGAGCAGCCATCAGCTCACTCGCAACCGTGATGGAGAAGATGAGCGCAGAACTTCACACAGGGACTCCCCAGAGGGTTTAAACAGGTCCAGTAAATCAGAAGTTTAGTGAAGATTTATTCTTTTGTGCTCCAAGGTGACTTTTGGAGAAACAGAGACTCAAAGAACCACTTTGGAAGAAGAGGGGTTTTCCATCCCTCCT